GAGCCTCCCTCACTTTTTGACCGCTGCAAGGCCATGCTGCCTCTCCCCCTAGGGTCTGGTGCCTCATGATCCCGCCTGAACCAGCTCAGTGGATTCGAGAGTTTGTAAAAGCACAGGCGTTTCCTCTTGTGCCCCTGGCACAGCTTGGATGGGAATGTAAATTGAGTAGGGCGCAGTCTCAGGGAGTCGTCAGGGCAGAGCAAATAGCAATGGTGGTGTCTCCGCGGCTCCTCGCCTCTTCGGGACTCCGGGACTTCGCATCCCCCAGTGTCAGCGAGCAGCTGCGTGCCAGAGCCTCCCTTGCTTTCCAACCACTGCGAGGCCATGCCGCCTCTCCCTGTGGGGTCTGGGGCCTCAGAGACCCGCCCCGAACAAGCCCAGTGGATTCAAGAGTTTGTAATCCCTTCCGATTGAAAAAAAAAACCCAAAAAACTGCGCATCCAGTTGCAGCCCGCCTGGTGCGTGACTCTGTAGCTCCTACTCAGTCTCACTGCGCTTCTTTCTTTCCTTCCAGTTGTAGAACTTCCACTGGGCCAACTTTCCCATGGTTCTGAGTGGTAGTTGTTTGTCCTATAGTTGGTAGTTTCAATGATGTTGTGGGAGGCAGCACGCACAGGTCTACACCCTACACCGCCATCTTGGTTCTCTCATTGTAGCTTTTTAAAACTATTGGATTTTAAAAACTAGGTGTATATATAACTTTTTTAAAACATAATTTTAAAATAACACAAATTTCCATTGATGGGAATATTAAATGGTGCAGTTGCTATGGAAAAAAAAAGTTAAAAGAGAATTATATAATCCAGCAACTCCACTTCTGAGTATATATTCAAAAGAATTGAAAGCAGGATCCTGAGGAGATATTTGTACACCTAAGTTTATAGCAATAGCCAAAATGTAGAGCCAACCCAAATGACCATCAACGGATGAATGCATAAACAAAATGTGGTACAACATGAATGGTAATTTGAGGACACTGTGCTGAGAGTCACAAAAAGTTAAATACTGTATGATTCCACTAATATGAGGTATCTAGATTAGTCAAACTCATACGATCAGTAATAAGAAAAAAACACTCACAAAGCCCTGGCTAGGTAGCTCATTTAGTTAGAGCATAATCCTGGTACACCAAAGTTATGAGTTTTATCCCAGTCAGGGCACATACAGAACACAATCAATGAATGCATAAATAAGTGGAACAAGTCAATGTTTCTCTCTCAAATAAAAAACAAATACTCTCACAAGGATACCATTAAATTTATTAGATGGTATTAAATTGACTACTTTTAGGACTTAACAAATATGAGGAATTATTTAAAACAATTCATTATGAATTATATAATTTAAAATTATAATTTCCCCTAATATTTACATAATTTAACCAGTATTAGTAATTCTGCATTTTATAGCCACTAAAGCATCTTATTGAAGTCTATAATGATAACTGAAAAAGTAATGCCACATCTGCATAATTTCAGTGCAGTGACATCTCTAGACAATTGTTATTGCCAGTTAGATGAAGAAAGTCACAAGAACTCAGAACGAGAGCTTAAAAAGAAAAATAGCTAACTTGAGCAATGCAACCTTCTCTAGGAAACAAACTCAAATTTTGTATGTAGGGCTTCAGTCAAAATATTGCTAATTGATCAGAGTATTGCTATACATTATACAATCTGATTTCTTGTTTTTGACAGGTACCTTTCCCAAGACACTGGCAACTTTCTTGACTTTGTGTTATTGGTTTTTTTTTTTAATCAGAGAGCTTATTCTAACTTCGATTTTGAAGAGGCTATTTGTTTTCAAAGTTTCAAAGAGTTAAAACTAACAATTTTATGGTTGTGGAGTACACAGATGGGGCTCACACAAATAGTTATTCTGTAGGTCCTATCCATGTTCCTTGATTGAGACAAAAACTGTATTATTTATGTTTCTATGGATTGAGGTTCACATGAAAAACAGCTCTTTTTCACTACCATTAAATAGTCTGAATTATAAAATTTTTATAAAGGATTTCATGGCTTTTAACAGTATTTGCTCCAACTATTTTTGAAAGTGAATTGCTATGAAACAATTTACCTATTTCAAAACTTTATTTTGATGGAAACATATATTACAATTTTCATTAATAATTTAAAAATCTAATTTCTTCTTAAAAATCTTACAAACTCACTATAACATTTAAAAATAATTTAAGGTAGTAAAAGCTAGAAATTATAACCATAACCTAAAAATTGATCATTTTCATTTCATAAACCATAAATTTTTATTTTAATAATAAGTTATGAAATCCATTCTTACATGTCATTAGAATGACAAATGTTTGGAAGTCCATATTCATTAGCCTTCAAGACAAATTTAAAAAAAAAAAACAGTATGCCTATTGGATACAAGAACAGATAAAAATCAGACAATCTAAATGTCCATTAACTGTTAAATGGATAGATTGTGCTACTCATACAATAGAATATTATATAGTAATAAAAATTCATGAACTGTGGCTTCATTCATCTGGGTGGATGAATTTTAGTTTTTCAGCAAAAGGTGATGGAAGCATACATATAGTATGACTCCATTTATGTAACACTTAAAAGGATGCAAAACTAAGCAGTGCAAAACTACAAATACAAACAAGGGAATGATGAACAGAAAATCTAGGATAGTGGTACCTCTGGGGAGGGAAATGAATGTATCAAAGAGGAGCTATAGTGGGTATCAAAATTATGAGTAATGTTTTATTCTTAAAGAGAGGCAGTAACTACATGGGTATTATTCATCCTTAAATATATACTTTGTACATACTCTGGAGAAAATTGGAGTAAAGAAAGTAGAGAACTGTATGTAGACAATTCTTTTTGAAGAGGCTTGACCTTGATTGGGACATAAATAAAAAATAGGGAAAATATGTGAAAGTTTAGATTTTGTTTTGCTCTTATGCTTTTCAAGACAGGAAAAGAGAGCTGAATGGCATAAAAAGTTTACATTAGAGAGGAGAAGTTGAAAAAACGGGAAAGGAGAAAACTGATGTAACAAGTTAAAACTGATGTTACTTAAGTATTCTGAAGGACAGAGTCCAAGGCACACCTGAAGAGGTCAACCTGTGAAAGGAGGTGTGACTCTACCTAATTTCAATCAAAGTGGAGTAGAAAAGGATAGAAACAGGTGAGCAGATTTATACATTTGGTGATGGGAAACCAAGGTATTTCATATCTGATGGCTTGTTCCTCCTCTTGAATGAGGTAAGCTCATTAGCTGAGAGGAAAGGATCAAAGTTGGTTTTGAGAAAAAGTGAAAGAATCTGAGAACAAACTGACCACAGGTAAATGCAGATGCTTTCTTGGACATTTTACCTTACCTATTTCCCTTGTCTCTGCCTACAATGTATTTCCTCTTCCTTTTCTTCCAGAAAGTCTTCCCATCCTTCAAGACTCACCACATCTTCTATGTCCTCTGAAACCTTTTCTATCCCATGGTAATCCTTTCCTTAAATCTTACAACAGTTGACTATACCACTCATGTTTCACTTACTCATGGACTGTCTTGCAATAACTCTTTTGTGTTGTACATGATTTAATTTTTATGTTGTCTCCTTAACTACAGTTCCTGAGGGCAGAAATTGTCTTTCATTAAACACTGTCCTACCCTCTTTCAGAAAAAGCGTATTCTCATCCACATAGTGAACATCTGGATGTATTTTCTAAATATGCCATCTACTGAAACAAATAGCCTTAAAGGCAAATGATAAAATAACTAAGAGTAAACTTTGAAACCTCTATTATTTTCTTATAACTGCTCCTGGTTTCAGTTTTTGGTTTTAGAACTTGGTTTTATTGTTGACAATATTACAGATGTCCCTAATTTCCACACCCCTTTGCCCAGCTCCAACAAACCTCTGCTTTTTTAGAAGTTCAGACAGAGAGCCAAGACTAACACATAATTGGTTTGCATGTTTAAAAAAATTATTCATGCTCATTAAGCTATTACTTTTTCTTACAATTTTTATGTTGTTTTTTTCATGGAGCTAGCTCTACCAAAAAATGAGGTAAAATGTTCATCAGCAAAGACAAATTATGTTAGGAATGCCATCTTGTGGTTGAGAGCAGTTCCTTACACTAATAGTTCCTTTCAGTGACCATCTTTAATTCAGAAATCAAACATCCAGCAAATTCACAAATGTATGGTTAAAACGTATTATTACTACAAAGAAAGAAAAAGTAAATATGTGCATCAATTGTGTGTGGTTTTAGTTGTCAAAAAAAAAACAATGCTCATTGAAAAGGGAGACAATAGGTATAGAAGAATGGACTCCAAATAATATAGGGAAACTGGTACCTATAACTATAAACATACTTCTAATAAAACTATCCAAATACACTGAATTTTGGAAAAAATTTCTCTTGAAATAGGTAAGTCATTTTATTTCTGAATCCACTTTGAAGTAGTTCTGTTGATTATTACATCCTGGATTTAAATCATGTGTTCTGATTTTCAAACTACGTCACTCTAACTATAAACATCCAAAGGAGAACGGAAAACAGAACACTTATCTAATTTGGATGGTGTCACATACACATAATTATTTGTGGCCCAAACGGATTCTGAGTTAAAAACACTGGCTCTATCTTAGCAGATAACCTACTTCCTCCATACAAATTAGCCATTTGAGCGGCAAATTATCTTTCTCATCAGAAGAGAACTAGTAATGGTGTGTTTACTAGTATTAACAACTGTGTTTAAATATTTTAATTGCCAAATTAAATACCAGGCATTTTGGTCCACCTAAAAGTGGGGCTGGGAAGTGGAAACTGATGCATCCCTCATGAGTAAAGAGTACAGCACAATAGCACAATGGGTCCGTGCACTATGCTACCTTTTTGTCACTTTTAGATTAAGGATCCAAGGAGCATGTAGAGGTACAAAGTTCAGTCCTAGAGGTTAGGCTATTGAAATTCCAAAAGGTAATAATATAGACATAGCTAAATAAAAAGGCTATTGTACTCCAAATCAATTCTTGTGATTTATTATTGCATGGTTATTAACAAAAAAAAAATTATTTTACTCAGAAAACTTATATGAATTGATTTTGTATTAGTTTTTCCACATGACTCTTCAGGACATTCACATCAGCTGCACAGACCTGGTACTCCATCTTCTCTTGCTGTTTTGTTCTCTCTAATAAAGCCTCATGTAGTGGAGGTAATGCATTGTATGAACTCAATAAATAAAGCTGACTTGACGACGTTTGGTTGATTTCTTGAATCTTTAAGGCCTGCATGATAGCAGGTGCAAACTTTGAGTAATGAGCTGTAGATGTGACAATCACTGGGCAAGTTTTGTCTTTCATTCTATCTGCAACCACTTTTGCAATAGCAGTGTGTGGATCCAAAATATACCCGGAATTATTGTAGGTGGAGTGAATAGCTGCGAGGCACTCTCCCTCAGAGCACCAGTCAGCTACAAAATCCTGCTGAAGTTTCTCAACTAGATTCTTTTCGATCTGAAAGTGATGCTGCTCTTCCAATTGATTAAATAATTTTGTCATTAATTGTCCATCTTTATTAGCCAGCAAGTGTAAATGTCGTTCCAGGTTTGAAGATTTAAGAATATCTATTGCTGGTGAAAAAGTTTGTGCTAATTTCCTTTCTCTTAGGTCATAATGTCCTGTTTTTATAAAATCAGTCAAAACGTGGTTCTGATTAGAGGCACAAATAAATTTTCGAATAGGGATTCCCATCATTTTGGCATACACTGCGGCTAAAATGTTACCGAAGTTTCCTGTGGGGATACAGACATCCACTGGGCTTCCAAAGGAAATAAAGCCTTGGCTAACAAGATCAAGATATGCAGAAGCATGATAAACTACTTGGGGAAGCAATCGGCCCCAGTTTATGGAATTAGCTGAACTTAAGATTGTTCCATATTCCACGGTAAGGAAACCAGTAAAATCAGAATCTTTAAAAATTCTTTTTATAGCTGTCTGGCAAAAATCAAAATCTGACTTGACACCCATTGCCCAACCATTTTCTTCCTGACTGCCAATTATCTGTGCTTTTTGAAAATCACTTATTCCATTCTCAGGGAAAAATGTGGCCACAGCTATTCTTTGCTTGTCATTTTTATTAAGGTTACTAAAACCATTTAAGACAGCGCTCCCTGTGTCTCCTGAAGTTGCTACAAGTATCATATAATTGCAACTGGGTGGAATACAGTGTGCAAAAAGGTGAGGCATAAGCTGTAAAGACAAATCTTTAAATGATCCTGTTGGTCCATAAAACAACTCCAGGATGAACTGGTTGCCTGAAAGATGCCTGACAGGGGCAATTTTTGAGCAGACAAAGTTTTCCCCATAAGCAGTTTCAATCATTTTTCCCAATTTGGCAGCAGGTATGTCAGCAGGATGTATACACTTTTCCAACAGTATTTGTGCTCTTTCTATGTACGTTGCTCCTACTAATCTTTTCCACTCCCCACAGTCTAATTTTGGAAATTCCTTCTCAGGAACAAAGAGTCCACCATCAGAAGCCAATCCCTCAATCACAGCTTCACTGAAGAATTTTGTCGAAACCTTCTGCTCACCGTCTTTAGGCCAACTGTGTCTTGTTGAAATGAATGTTTCTGAGTCCACATCTTGGTATCTTTTAACTTCATTAAGCACTTTGTCAGCTACCTCCTCTGGGGAAGCCCCACTTTCACAAAAAACACGGGTATCATACCACTTCTTATAATACTGTCTTCTAAATTTAAGTAAGTCTATCATAGCTGTCCCAGAATTCTGACCTACAATCCTATCTATTTTCATTAATTTTAGACGATTAACTATATCTATTAGAGGTACATCCAGGTATACGATTATTCCATTTTTCTTCAGATGCCACATGCTAGTATCATGCATTGGGTTAGACCCAGTAAGGGAAATCACACTTCCAGATGTAGTGAAGTTTAACACAGCTTTTCCTTCCTCTTCTAAAAATTGTTCATTACCAACATCCTGTAATTTTTCAGACACACTCATATTCCAGGTTTTTTCAAGGATATCATCATCCACATCTATGACACAACAACCTAGTTTCAGCCCTATTATTCTGCCTACTGTTGTTTTCCCAGCTCCAGGCAGTCCCATCAGGATAATATTTTTGTCTCCAACAAGAGAGTGAGTTGAGTGACATGACTTCCTTAATTCTGCAAGTGCAAAGGTTCTTGAAAGATATAGCTGTGCATGTTTATCCGTTTTAACATGTATAAAAGAAAAACATTTCTGGGTTATTTGTTTCAGATGTTGACATCGGTTAAAGTGGAGCATTCTCTTTTCACTTTTTTTTTTGCCAAAGCCAACCTAAAAACTGGCTTTAATCCTTTTCAAAACATAAAAAAAAAAGGACATCTGGTTACTAATTTCAACAGACTTAAAATCCTCACAGGAGTGAATATAACCATGTCCACAGTACATACACTATTTGAAAATCTTCCAAATTTATGGGATATTTAAAAAAATATTTGAATCCAACTTTCCATATACTGCATATTACATCTTTAAAAATCTTTTCAAGTCTCAAGACACTGAATAATCAAACTTTAATAATTTGTAGCAATTAAGCAACAGAAACTTTATTCAGAAAATGCCATTATCATAGGTGCTTTTTGAAAAAATATACTAAATCAAATTAGTATTTCTTTTTCCTGTAATGAAAATTGTTTTATGGTTTATAACCCATATAATAAGGGTTATTTAAAGTTGAAATGCTGGTTGCTTAGAATTCACAAAAAGATTATTATTTTTATATTTAATTTCTCTTTAGTTATATGAACATGTTTATAGACAATTATGTTACTCATACATTTCTTAGATACAGTATTCACAACAGGAAACCAGAATAAAATATTTGCTTATAAAATGCTTAAATAATTTTCCAAACTATAGGGCACAGATATGATATTTTATTTCTATGTGCCTTTTCTATGCATACTATTAAGAATCTTTCTTACATATTCTTCATAGTGAAGACCTTTTAAAATAAGCTAGAATGAAAGGTATAATATTGCAAATAGTTAAAGTGATGATCAGCAGCAAGGTCAAAGGCCACATATCTATAACCTTATCTGCATGAGACCACCACTTTGGTCTCTGTCCCATAAACATCATCAGTGAAGAGACTTAATTCAAATTCCAGACTCCAGAGTGATAGAAAAAAAACCTCAAGAATGTTATCAATGACAAGAGGGGAAAATTATTCTGGAATCCAAAGCAGCTTTGGATACTGGTCAAATTCCTGTTTTTAGAAATATACTCACCATTAAACACAAATGTATGCCAGACAAGTCAAAAATTTAGTCACATGTAAAATGCAAGTTAACAACCTCTGCAACATTCATTTAAATTGATGAAGATAATTTGACCACTACACAGTGGGGCTTTTCACACATTCTATAGTAGAACCAAAATGCAACTAAGCCATATTAAATGTTAGATGATAGGCTTAAATACGTTCTGAAAAGTTTCAATCATTTACTATTCTGATTATCAATTCTACTCAAACTTTGTTCTGTAATTAACCATTTAAGTCACTTTAAACTAACACTGAATTTAATTTACAAGTTAAATTGCAACTGTCAAGAGAAGGAATACATTTCCTTATTTGGCTTTGCAACTTGTACTATGTACTGTGCTTAACTCCCAGTGACTTGTAAACATATGATACACACGTACCAATCTTGATGAAGAGTTTGTAGATGCTGAGACAAAGTCAATCTTTGCAAAAAAGTAGAGTCTATAATGGAAGAAATCTCGTGTTAATCATAACTGCATACAGTATCACAAAATTCCACGCAGACTATTCTATTATTACAATGCCCAATTGAAATATTTAAAGTGCAGAAAAATAATTGGCCTGTGGACTGAAGGTCCCAAGTTTGATTTCGGTCAAGGGCACATGCTGGGGTTGTAGGCTCGATCCCCAGTGGGGGCGTGTAGAAGGCAGCCAATCAATGGTTCTTTCTCATCAATGATGTTTCTATCTCTCCCTCTCCCTCTCCCTTCCTCTCTGAAATCAATAAAAGTATATAAATAAATAAATAAATAAATAAATAAATAAATAAATAAATAAATAGATTAGAAAATTACGGTCCTGGCTGGGTGGCTCTGCTGGTTGGAGTGTTGTCCTATAAACCAAAAGGTGGTAGGTTCAATTACCAGTCAGGCACATACCTAAAGGGGTGCATACAAGAGGCAATGATGGTTCTCCCTCCCTCCTCTCTCTCTAAAGATCAACAGAAAAAAGGCATATCCTCAGGTGAGGATTAGAGAAAAGGAAAAAAGAATCATGACCGTTCAATTTATTAATTCTGTATCAATATTATTTCATCATAAAAATCTCCCTGACTCTAGAAAAATTGCTGTTAAGCCCTAACCGGTTTGGCTCAGTGGATAGAGCGTCGGCCTGCAGACTGAAGGGTCCCAGGTTCGATTCCGGTCAAGGGCATGTACCTTGGTTGCAGGCACAATCCTAGTATGGAGTGTGCAGGAGGCAGCTGAATCGATGTTTCTCTCTTATCGATGTTTCTAACTCTCTATCTCTCTCCCTTCCTCTCTGTAAAAAATCAATAAAAAATATTTTTAAAAAAAGAAAAAAAATTGCGGTTAAGTGTTAGAACATGTAACAAATACTATCTTTTTAAAGCAAAATAAAGAAGATGAATTCTTAAGCTACATACTAATTTTGCTTTTGTAACATTTAGCCGCAAACTAATTTTAGGACTTCAACATCCATTGCAAGCAATCCAGATGACAAGAGAAGATGGATGTAACTTTTATCTAGAAATAGAATTTTACTTAAGTCATACAGTCAATTCTTGTTATTCATGGTATTTGTGTTCTATAAAGTCACCAGGAATATTGAATTAGTGAATATTAAACCACTGCTTCTGAGAAATACAGGATTAGGTCCCTGTGAGCCTTTGGTCATAACATTTTTTGCCAACTGATCAATACATAACCTTGTTTTATATGTGTTTCTGTTTAAAGACATCTTATTGAACATTAAGTTGATTCATTACCAATGAACTCACAGCCAACAGCCTCTTAACTCATGCCTGAATGAAGCTAATCTAACACACATTTTCTCTGTAAGGCACTGATAGTACTGTTGCCTGGGAACATTAGGCAGCACTTCAGCACTGGGCTTTAAACAGCAAAATCACCAACGAGAAGCACAAAAATGTGAAAAATGTGGCACTAAATAGAACATGAAAAGGACACTTGTCTACAGTATGAGAGCTGAAGCAAGAAGGCAGAGGGTCACCTTGTTTGACTCCAGCATGGAACATGCACATCAGACAACTCAAATTTTTCACCACTGTGTGCATGTCTGAAAATGACTACAAAAGTGCTGCATGTATTAATTTGGGGTTATAAATAAATTTTAGCCAGAATCCACAAATATGGTACCTGTGAAAAGTGAGGATCAACTGTATATCATTCTTTTATGATTGAAAGTCATGTTATTAGACATTTTTTTCATTTACTTCTGTTAGCATGTTTTTTAGTATAATGGTCACGAAGAGGACATTTTTCCTTAGCCAAAAGACAAAACTATTTGAAATTGAATGAAAGTCAATCACATAGGAGTCAGAAAGCAAAAACATTTAAAGACCAAATCTCTTGGCCATTATAAAATTACCTAGTTTTCAATTCCTCTGGGAAATTGTCAGAATCCTACTTAGTCAAAAGGATTCAACATTTTTCACCCATTTAAAATATTTGCTATTATAGTCTCCTCCATAATAAAATAAGACATAGTACTTCAAAAATTATCTCCTGATGAGAACTGGCTATACAGTTCAATGAACTTGTTTGTCATCCTATATTAATGCAATCTCTATTTAAATTTCTCAGATGACTAAAACTAGTCCACTATCTTATGAAGAAAGATATTGAGGTTTTTAAAAATTCTTTAAAAGTACTGCATTTTATAGCATTGAATTATTTTCCAAGTAATAAGAACAAATGAAAATACACTAGGATATAAACTAATGGTGGGTGGGGGTAAAGCTCTGCTGCTTCTGAACAAAAATCCTCTCAACAAGCTCCCACTTCCATAGACAGTGTGAGGTGGAGAGGGTGAAAGGAGCGCACATCCAATGCCATGCTGTAATCACAGGGATTTTACAAGGTCCCTACTCACCATTGCGTTTATCTTAGTATCAAAGCCAACTAAGCATTTCCTGTTGTTTCCTTTTGCTGCTAGATATCCTCTCAATGGTCTTGAGTATTTAATTCGACTTTACAGTCCACTTTTCCACTTTATAACTTGGAAAAATATTTTAAAGATATTTGTCTTTATAAAGCGTTTATTTTCCTCCCAATTATCATATTCGTATTCCCACCTACACCTATTTTATTCATCTAAGTAGATTAAAATAATCTTTAGGAAAAAACAAAAAACACCTACTTTTTATGTGAAACCATTTGTAACAAGGGTCTGTGCCAACTACAACCCACAGGCCAAATTCGCAACACAACTTTGCTATCATTTGTTCCTTTGTTTAGTACTGCCTTTGGCTGCTACCATGGTAGAGTTGAGTAGTTGCAACAGAAACCATCTGACCTGCAAAGGCCTAAATATTGATTAATTAGCCCTTTAGAGAAAAAGTGCATGATCTCTGATGGTATACCAACACTACTTTCCTGTGGACATATTGGACATGGGCATTTCCTTGAACAGTACTGCCGTTTTGAGGGAAATATAGAAATTAAAAATATATTCTTTGTAAACATACTTTCAAAAAAAAAAAAAAAAAAGGCAAGCAGCCCTAACTGGTTTGGCTCAGTGGCTAGAGCTTCGGCCTGCGGACTGAAAGGTCCCAGGTTAGAGTCTGGTCAAGGGCATGTACCTTGGTTGCGGGCACATCCCCAGTAGGAGGTGTGCAGGAGGCAGCTGATCGATGTTTCTCTCTCACTGATGTTTCTAACTCTCTAACCCTCTCCCTTCCTCTCTGTAAAAAATAAATAAAATATATTTTTTTAAAAAGCAAGCAGAATTACAGATCAAGCATCTAAGGAAAAAAAAAGGTCCTTACCAGATGATTTAACAACTTCCATCATGATTGTAAACTAAATATACTATAGTGAGGAGATCTTAAATTCTATTTAGTAATTTTAAGGGTGCAATAAGTACACTGACAGTGAAAATACTGTATTCAGGAACTCCAGAAAGTTGGAATTAGCTGAGGCCAGTCGGTACTTACTCACTGAAGAAGCGCTTTCCTTTGCCCTTCCTGGCCCCTAAAGGAACTGGTTACCATAAACCACCCCAAGTGTCCCTTCTAATTAGAAAATTTGTAAGTCTGGGCCAGTGACTATCCATTGGGCTAATGGTATTATCACTGTGAGGCCTTCGTTCAATCTTAACATGTATAGAGAACAAAACTTTTCTTTATGCATGCAACGCAAAAAAACAAAAACATTGAGATGGAGACGGCCCAAGCTGGCGCGCTCTCCATCCCAGCATCTTGTTCTCTTCGGGCAGAGTGGCCGCTGTCAGGCTGGTCCAGGCTGTCTTCCTTCCCACATCCCACTGCCAAAATGTCTTTTAGAGACTGGGATGGCAAAAGCTTTTAAACCAGTTTCTCCCAGCGGCCACACATGTATGAGCTGGTTTATGGAAGACCAAATGGGTTGAGAACGGACAAAAACCGCTTCTCACAAAAACGATTTTCAAAAAAGGACACCAAAAAAAAAAGGGGGGGGGGGATTACAGGGCCCATATGAAAGGCTTCCTCCGGTTCAGGCTGCTCGTTTATTAACAAGCCCACACACTGTGGGGAAAGACCCAAGAGGAGGGCCGATCACGGGGGAGACCGGGCGAAGAGCAGAGAACTGGGGAGGCGCAGGCCGGGGAGAGGCGGGGCGCAACAGGGGGACGCAGGCCTGGCGGCCCGGGGCGCACAGCGAGCACCGCCGGCCGAGCACCGGGGCCGCCGAGAAAGGAGCGGTGATGACAGGCGAGGAGCGGAAAGGGGCGGGCGCGAGAGGAGAAAGGCATGCGATGGGAGCGGACCCGTGGCTATGGCCTCCCTTTCTTTCTCCTCTCATAACTCACCCAGAAAATCACACTGAGAAGACGGGGAAAGAGAAAGAAATGGGAGGGCGTGTCCAGGAGCAGTCAGTGTCGCTACGGGACCGGGGACCGATCCCCACACCTCCGGCCCCGGCCCCCCGACCACAGCGCAGGCCCAAGACCTCGCCAGGACCGCCCCCACGCCGCGGCCCCCGCGCCTGCGCCTGCGCCGGTGCAGCCTTGCGCTCCCGCGCGCCACACCCACCTCCGGAGCCGCCCAGCGTCAGGCACGTGACTCTCGTCAGGCTCCACCTACGAGCCAACCCCGGCCCCGCCCCTACCTGGTCGGCTCTCCACGTGGGCCGTGCGTCAGCGTGGCCTCAGCCGCTGGCCCCGCCCCTGCCGGAATTGGGACCTGCGCACAAGAGCCTTATTGTGTGACTTCAGCGCGCCCGCTGTCCTTTTGTGTCTGAATCTTTCTCCACATATACAGAGACAGAAAAAAGCAACATTTTTATGGGGACGCCGTTTTTCACCCCATTACTCCCAAAGGCACATATAAACGGTGGTTTCCACATGGAGCTTTCCAGTTAGAAGAATTGAGCTGCAGTGACGGGAGAGAGGAAGCATGGTTTGCAGTGGGGCCGCCCACTTCCCCGTTGCCTAGTAACTGTTTCCATGGCAAGCGCGCGGTCTAGACGCTCAGCAACCCCAAGAGGAATAGAGAGTATCCTCTTCCCAAGAGAGGACGGCAAAAAGGGGTCAAAGGGGAACTGTGTGAAAGAGAGAAACCTTAGTTCCTTGAGAAGGCAAGCGAGTAGGAAAGGAAAGGGGATGCAGTGAAGAAAGGAACAGAGATACTGGTATTTTCATTAAAAAAATAAAAAGTAGTTTTGAGGAGCCGTTTGGTGGCCATGGATCCAACATGCCCTTCTGAGAGCATTTACAACCTCATACCCAGTGACTGGAAGGAGCCTCCCCCGCCTCCTAGGTATGTGGGCAATACAAGATTATCGCGTGAAACAAGAATGCGGAATAATTCTTCTATTTCAGGATTAATCAAAGCATCATATGACTTTTAAAAAGAAATAAAAAATACTTTTGTCTCAATGAAGTAACCTTGAATGATAACTTCTTTAAAAAAAGGTTGCAAAATCTAGCTACTCAGTATCTCAAAATTCAGAGAGGGCAATCCAGTGCCATTTTATGGTAGTCTCCTGTAATAGGGCATGTGACTTTTATAATTTATCTGATTGTTCACACATGATAGGTGGTATATAATAGTGTGAAATTTCTTGTTGAAAAATATCACAATTTTATTATCCTGTGTTAGGATATTTCATATTTGGTTTCAGGAGTTCCTTGTTTTATTTCTGACTGCTCTTTTTCTAAGGGTGTAGTACTTATTTTTCCCCCAAGATTATTGTCAAATATAAATTTGCTTCTGAGCCTCAATGTTTTGATCGGTGAAACAAAATAGACTGGATAGTTTCTAAGGTCTTTTACGGGTCTTATAGATGGAAGGAAGAGTGGATGGAGAACCAAAAATATGTAACTCAGTTAAAAATTTTACATAGGTGATAGGACCTCTTAAATTCCCCAGTTTCAAAAAGGTCATCACAAACTAAACATCCATTTACACTCCTGTGTAGAGACTTAGAACTTATTTAAGTCTATGGGGAGAAAAGAAGTAGGTAATAGAGAAAATCTCATTTCTTCTAGTACTTGGCTGTCTTTTACCTTTCTCCTTTTCCTGATTTAAGTGAAAACCACATTGAAAGAGTGCTGGGCTAGGAGAAAAAACAAACAGGGGCTTCAACTAATTGGTTTTGGGATCATGAATAAATTTTCACTTGTTATCTGTAAAAGAAAAGAGTCTTTATGGCCCCTTTCAGTCTAATGGTCAATTATTTTTACTAATATTTACATCTTCAGTAAGAAGTTCCATTTTTTAATTTTTATATTTTTGTTATTCCTCACCCGAGGATATTTTTTCCATTTATTTTTTAGAGAGAGTGGAAGGGAGTGGAGGAAGGGAGGGAAGGAGAGAGAGAGAGAGAGAGAGAGAGAGAGAGAGAGAGAGAGAGAGAGAAGAGGAGAGAGGAGAGAGAAACATCCATGTGAGAACGATACATCACCTCCCTAATGTGCCATGACCTGGGCTGGGGATTGAACTGGAAACCCTTTGGTGCACCTACGAGACTCTAATCATTGAGCAACACCAGCCTGAGTTTCTTTGTTTTAACCAGAGCAGTACCTACATTGACTTCCATTAGTTTTTCGAATCTAGTAGAAATTGGAAAGGGGAATATAAAGTAAGAAGATATGATACTGGTGCACAGTTTATGAGGAGTGTTCAAATTAACTATTGGTAAATGGACTTTTGGTCCAAAATTCCTATATATTGTACAAGATAAAGCTCCTCCTCTCTGTAACCCACTGGTAGGTTGTGTTTTCTATAGAGGACTGAATTTGAATGGTAAGATACGGTATTAGACAGGTGTTCTGTCCTTTGGTAAATTTAAAAGCTTTACTATGCATCTAGGTGATTTTTTCAAGAAATTTTATAGGAACGATCATTCTTCATTTGGCAAGCATTGACTGAGCCCCTATTAGGTGTATAATGTTGCCCTTGGGGAGTGTTGCAGTGACAGCACAAACATTTTGGTTTGCTCGGAAGGAGTGTGTAGGAAAAAGGAACTCATGGTGAAGGGACTAGAAGGCATCTAAATGTGATGCCACACAACTTTCTCTGTTAAGTCAGCCTACACTGTCAGCAACAGTGATGAGGAGTTTTTAATTTGATGGCATGCACGAAAACCGCTAATTCATAAAAAAAAAAACAGAGCATAATTAATCACACTTTTTTCTCACCACACTAACACAAACTTGTCTGAATCTCCTTACTGATAGTAAAATTACATAACCATAAGAAATGTATTAAGCTATAAGGCTAATCTGTATTACTGAGTTATAAATCCAGCTTCAAGAAAACTCTCAGTGGCTCTTTGCAAGACTGGCAAGGTGATTGTCCAGCTTTCATAAAGAGTTGGATTCCTGGGAGAAATCAAAAATTGACTGTACTGTGCTCTCCCATACATCAGAGTTTAGTTTCTTTAGCAAACAAAAATATAAACATTAAAATATTGATATGCTAAATGAAATAAATGTTACCAGGTAGATATATGTAACCAAAGTGGGGTGAAGGGCAACCTTTTGCAGTGGAACTATAAGCTGGGACTTAAGATATAAAAATGTTAAAGTCAGCCCTGACTGGTGTCACTCAATGGTTAGAGCATTGGCCCTGAGCACTGAAGAGTCTCGGGTTCGGATTCTCAGGTGAAGGCATGATTGCGTTTCAGGTTTCAGCAACCAATCAATGTGTGTCTCACACATTGACGTTTTTCTCTCTCTCTCCTCTCTCTGTTTCTGTCTCTCCCTCTATTTCTCTCTTTCTTTCCCCACTCCTTCTACCCCTCCCTATCTCCCTTCCACCCTCTCTAAAGAAAATCAATGGAAAATATCCTTGGGTGATGATTAACAAAAAACAACAACACATGTTAAAGTCAATGAGAAACCATTAATCAGTTTTCAAAACTTCAGTTGCTCATGATGTATGAGATGGTTTCCAAGATCATCACCAAATGTGTGACCCTTCTATTGATAACTCGTTACTTAATATCTCTAATCATTCTCTCTTTCCCTTTTGTTGAAAGTAATATTCCAATATGGCCTGAATGTTGACTTCTGATCTGCTTTCCTTGATGCACAATACTTTTATTTATGCATCCATTAGCATGATGGCAGTCACGTCCTATCATTGTTTCACATTGAAATTCCCACATGAATTATGACTAAGTTTAGTCTCTCCCATCCTATACTTGTGTAGCTGGTTCTTTTTTATCTAAACTTATCATTAATCTATGGAGATAGTTTTGAATTTTGAATCTTTCATACACTCTCTTAACCATCCCTCCCAGCTTTGTGACATTTGCAGATCCAATGTCTTTTATATCTCCATCCATCATTGAATAGGGCTAGTACCTTGCACTTTAATAGGCCACTAGATATTTCTTTCTAGACTGGCAGCAATAAATGTTTTTGAGGATTCAGTCAGTCATCCAAATGCATTCATTAATCAGTTCATATTTCTCTACCTTATCAGTAAGGATTTAATAAGAGGCTTTACTAACATCAAGGTGTATATGATGTCTAAAATATTTTCCTGATTTTTGAGTCTTATATTTCTTAAAAATGATCTTCATATCCTAGCTGGTTTTGCTCAGTGAATAGAGCATTGGACTGTGAACTGAAAAGTCCTGGATTTGATTCCGGTCAAGGGCACATGCTTGGGAGGCATGCAGGAGGCAGCCGATCAATGATACCATCTCATCATTGATGTTTCTGTCTCTCTCTCCCTCTCCCTTCCACTCTGAAATCAATAAAAATATATTAAATAAATAAGTAATAAACATAAAAATTACATTGAGAAAGTTGCTTTCCCATTTCAAAAACAAAAGATCTTCATTTCAGTGATCTGAAACTCCAAGTGGCTCATGCTATCATTGCTGCTCTACGAATTTTTAGAAGCTCTTTGAAATTGGCATCAGGCTCACCAGCATGGAGTTTCTGTATACATGCATTTTGAAAATGAAATATTTAATGTCATAAGCACCCAGTAGTTGTTTCCTTTTTTATGCCTTTTTGGTTTTCATTGGGATAATTCCGACATGTAGTCAGAATTTCATTTTTGGAGCTTTGCATTTTTCTTGGACTACCTTTCATTTTATTTCATTTTAATGCTGTTATACTGTATTTTCTGAAGGTTTGTAACATCTTTTTGTTTAAAGTCCAGTTATGTATCTGAGTTTGCTAAGCAATCTTGACTATTATGAAATTTTTAGATGACATAGTAACTTTCTTCTGAGGTTCTTACCTTCTTTGCTTACTAAGTACAGCCAGTAATTGGGGAAGACAATAGTTCTTTTAAGTGAATTTACATTCACAGAAAATTTAGAATATCCAAATGTTTTTGTTTTAGCATAATGAAATTTTATGCTAAAATTCCCATTCTGTAATATATGGTCTTGGGCAGTTTTTTAATTAGTGCTGGAAGTCAATATTCAGGTTTTTCATCTGGCTATCTCTCTCTGCGGACTTACACAATAATAATACTTCTCTTCATCTCTTGTGGGTTTTTACCCAAGTGCACTTCTCATGCTTATATATATATTCATTCTTGACAAACATATATACATATATGTATATATATGTGTGTGTGTGTGTGTGTATATATATATATATATATATATATATATGTATGTATATATATAGGTATATATATATATTTAGAGGCCCGGTGCACAAAAATCTGTGCACTCGGGGAGGTCCCTCAGCCTGACCTGTGCCCTCTCACAGTCTGGGACCTCTTGGGGAATGACCACCTGCTGGCTTAGGCCCACTCCATGGGGAATTGGGCCTAAGCTGGCAGTCAGACATCCCTCTGGCAGCCCAGGAGCACTCGGGGGATGTCCACTTGCCAGCGGGGAGCAGGCCTAAGCTGCAGTTGGACATCCTTATCGCTGCTGAAGCAGTGGAAGAGGCTCGCACCACCACCGCTGTACTGGCAGCTCCTGCATTAAGCATCTGCCCCCTGGTGGTCAGTGTGGGTCATAGTGACCAGCCATTCCCAGTTGTTCTGCTGTTAGGTTCAATTTGCATATTATCCTGTTATTATATAGGAGTGCCTGGCCAGCCTGGGTGAGAGGCTGATGGCTGTTTGCAGGCTGGCCACAACCCCTTCAGGGTGAGGGTCCCCCCCTGGGGTACCTGGCCAGCCTGGGTGAGGAGGTGATGGCTATTTGCAGGCTGGCCACAGCACCTCCTGCTTGCTCCAGCTCCGTGGCGTCCGGCCGCCATCTTGTTGGTTGTAGACTATCCCCCAGGTCAAACAGGTGTGTTTTTTTATTTAAGCAAGATGAATATCCAGTA